CTCAAATCTAAACGTGTTATGCGGTTGAAAGTTGCCGATGACAAACCAAGTCTGTTTCGACGACAGCTTAACCGCGGCCTTTCACCATTCAAAACCTCTCCATTGGCTTCTTCAATAACATTGCGTACAGCTTCAATGTTCTCAGCACTTCTCGCTGTTCTTAGACGACCCGAATTACCTCTGTTTAAGTTACGGCTCGTCCCGTTATCACGATATTTCTTAACATTGTAATAAATTATTGCACGTGAAGGCATTCGGACATCTGGATATTCGTTCCTGAAACTTTGGCGAACCAAGTTTATGTTGTTGCTACAGAGGAACTCTGACACCATAAAAGCTCTCTGCTGTGGCGTAAATTCGGTTAAATCCCGCCAAAACTCTATCATAAATGAGACGAATGTCGAACATTTCATACATAAAATCAAATAAAAAATAACGTTTAGCATTTCTGTGCGCAAGCCACTTTTAGCTGAGCAAAAGTTTACAACTCCCCTGCTTTGAAAAATTTACCATTTTCGATCTTTTTTATATTTTCTATATCTCAAGTACTGAGACAAACCATACATATAAAAAATTTAATTTCATGAACAGATTTGTAGAATTGAGAGCACTTTCAAAATTGTCTAACTTTTTTTGATACACCCTGTAGTGTAGCAGATTCCATATAGTTATATTTCACAGTTCTTGCTGTAACACAATGGACTTAACTGCTTTTAGAGAATGAGCTGATATACATCGGGCACAAGAAAGATTTAAAGAAGAAAGTAATTATGGAGTTGGAGGAAATCTCGGATATTTTGCACCAATACCACTCAAATCCCATGGGTGGCCATAGTGGAATAAACAGCACACTGGCTAAAATTTCACAATATTACTCATGGAATGGTATGAAAGCTGACGTGACTGAATATGTAAGTATATTCTATGGAGAAAAATTCAGTTATAAGTTGTGTGTAGAATAATTCTATAATTTGGGGATGGGTGATATTAAATAATGGACAACATGATCGATATACATGTATTTTGCAAATCATATATATCCTACTGGTTACATCATTAATAATGTAATAACATCCATGTATTAACATTTCTGGCCACCTTAACAGTGTCAAACTTGTGATCGATGCCAAAGACTTGAAAAAATAAAGACGCAAGCTCCTGAATTAAAATCAATTAAGGTCAATTAAGGCCCAATTAAGGCCCACTGAAAGAGAAAGCTGCAGCTGGTATTGCTAATTCTATTAAAACATTTCTTTGCAGGTATGTACTATTATACTATTTATCATACTTTAATATAGGCCATCAAATAGTGAGTATATTGTGTGTAACAAGGTGAAGGCTATTTCAGATATGTCAGAGCACCTCGTCACCAGGCCTCCAACTCGTACGCGGCCACAATATCCAATATGGCGACCAGACATGAGGAGTGTATATTTTAAAAATCCTTAAAAATACGTTAAGTGTACATGCAAATTCAGTATATACGAGTAGACTTTGTAGTTTAATTTTTTCCGCAATAAAATTCATTTCAGAATAATTCATACAAGTACATTATTGTATACTTGATAGAATATAAGGATAAACTTACTCTTCCTGCTGTCACTTGCCAGCCTAGCCGCTATGTGTATATCTGCCAGAAATTACTCAGAGGCAACGGAAGCAATCAAGGGCAGACGAGGGATAGCACAACAGGTAAGGCACCTTTGTGTACCAAGTCTGTCTTTATTCAATTATTGAAAATTATATGAACAAACTGCAACAAACTAGACAATCTTAACTTGGAAAACTTAGACTGGTAAGATACATTCAATTTCCATGAGCATATATAGGGCAGGCTCCCCCGCTCCCCAGAAATTACTCCGCCTTGAAATTACTTGTTGTGTTAGTACCTCCGAAGTGATTAATTTGAAATTAACTATGTTAAATTTGATTAGAAAGGTCTAACCCCTTTGTCGAGATAACATTGATATTTTGTCAGCAAATCACTAGGTTCAATCAGGGGAAATTTGGCAACATGATGCAAAAATGTGTTTGTGAGAGTCTCAAGACAACTAAGTCTCCACTATGTAGAGTTGAAGATCAGATGAGTGACAACAAAGTCAAATGCAAAAAATGTTGCCAGAGCTTCCATGTCAAATGTTTAAATCAGGGATTGCAAACTACTAGACAAGCAAAAGAATGCACCTTAATTCTTCTGCCCTTCTCAACATGTACACTAAGTGAATTTGCTACTCCATGATAATACAGGGTTGTATGTATGTAGCCTGACCATGCACTCATTTTAAATACTCTCTACCAGGCAAGTTAGTCTTAAAATTTTTAGTAGAACCCACACCTTGCAAACCACAACCAACACACTCTGTAATCAGATCAAACTTTAGTATTTGAACAAGAACAAAATGCCAAGTGTTTTGGAAAAGGGGCCTTTTACTGAAAATTCATGGGTGGGGCTTAGGAATTTCCTAAGGGGTAAGCAGAGAAGTGTCATGTCATTTTTTTTTCACAAACATGTTAGAGGGTTTAGTGTCTTGCTCACTTTGAGAAAATTTTGGAATGTCAAGACTCTTGGAAACACATTTTACTGCATTGTTTTACTGCCAAATTTCCCCTGATTGAACCTAGTGATTTGCTGACAAAATATCAATGTTATCTCGACAAAGGGGTTAGACCTTTCTAATCAAATTTAACATAGTAATTTCAAATTAATCACTTTCGGAGTAACTAACACAACAAGTAATTTCAAGGCGGAGTAATTTCTGGGGAGCGGGGGAGCCTGCCCTATATATGCTCATGGAAATTGAATGTATCTTACCAGTCTAACTTTTCCAAGTTAAGATTGTCTAGTTTGTTGCAGTTTGTTCATATAATTTTCAATAATTGAATAAAGACAGACTTGGTAAACAAAGGTGCCTTACCTGCTGTGCTATCCCTCGTCTGCCCTTGATTGCTTCCGTTAATTGCCTCTGAGTAATTTCTGGCAGATATACACATAGCGGCTAGGCTGGCAAGTGACAGCAGGAAGAGTAAGTTTATCCTTATATTCTATCAAGTATACAATAATGTACTTGTATGAATTATTCTGAAATGAATTTTATTGCGGGAAAAAACTAAACTGCAAAGTCTACTCGTATATACAAAATTTGCATGTACGCTTAACGTATTTTTAAGGATTTTTAAAATATACACTCCTCATGTCTGGTCGCCATATTGGATATTGTGGCCGCGTACGAGTTGGAGGCCTGGTGACGAGGTGCTCTGACGTATCTGAAATAGCCTTCACCGTGTAACAAGGGTAATTATATTATATGACACTGAGGATGTTAATGTATTTTGTAGGTGGGGTGTTCCCGCTAGACTTCTGTCAGATCAAAGCAGAGAGTTTGTTGCACAGGTAAGAGAAATATTAATATATGAGTGTTTATGCGAATTAACAACTACCTTTTCTACCTTTGCTGTTCTAATTTTAGGTTAATAATGAAGTTTGTGAGAAACTCAACATAAAAAGATCCATAACAAGTGCCTACCACCCCCAAACCAATGGTCTAGATGAACGGACAAACCAAACCCTGAAGGTCAGAATATCAAAGCTGGTCAATGAAAGCCAGGATAACTGGGATCAGTATCTGGACAAGGTTGCTTTTTCCATCCGTACCCAAAAGCAAGGGTCCACTAAATATACTCCATTCTACCTAATGTTTGGTCGCCATCCGAGGACCCCAATGGAGGTACCTACAGTACTTATTATATAGATCACTAGTCATCATCCCATTGTTATATACAAATACCAGATTTCTTTGCCTAATGTCTAACAAGTTCATGCAACACAAGATAAATGTTATAAGTTATAACTGTGTACCAATAGTCAATGCTTGTATTTGCAGATGGGGGAAGCATCAGAGGAGATCTCAGATATTACTGGCGAGAAAATAGGAGATGAGGAACTAGATGAAATCATTGAGGCTAGAGCATCTATCATGACCAATATCAACCAAAAGGTTAAGTTCTTTTTAACTACAGTGTATAAAGTAGATGTGATCAAAATAGGGTTAGCATAGACCATTAAAAGACCAGCTCTGAAGTTTTAAGAGATCCAAGAGCCTTCCGTTTGCAATGGTTAAAGTAAGGATGTATGTATTTTTTATCAGGTGAAAGAGAATGTCGAAAAAGCTCAACTGAAGCAAAAGAAGGAGTATGCCAGGAGAACTATGAGTATGCCTTTCTGTTTGTATAAATTTGAGTATGCCTTTCTGTTTGTACAAATTTGAACTGACAGCAAGTAAGCAACAATTCAAATTAATTAAAAACATTCAAATAACACCATCTGCGTGTATTTTTCCCCGTCACTCGTGTTTTATTCCTTAAAATTGTGTTGCTAGATTCATATATGATTAATATTTGGAGTTCTGCTTTAAATTTTTAAGTTCAGTTTGGAAATTCAGTCAGAAGAACCAGGGAGTATACTGTACAATCTCAGCACGATGACAATTTCAGACCGCTTTACAACGTGCCAGGATTGCAGGCTCGATTTCGAGCATGCGCAGTAGTGACAATACAATCTCAGCACGGTGACAATCTGAGACCGCTACACCGGCCGAGATGGCGTCAAACTTTTTTACAGTATTACCTAAATACAATGTACACAGGCAGACAGATTACAGATATATGACGGTTTTAAAAATTATTAATCAAATTAGCTATTATAAAGCGTTTCTTATAGTTCATAGGTGTATATGATATGAAAAAATGAAAAACTGTGGTACAGTAAAGGCAGTAAAACCAGTAAATACTGGCAGTGAACGTCAACTTGAGTATATTTATAGTTTTATGGCCCCTTTCTAAACATTAATTAGTTTGAAATGTAGATTGTAGATTTCACTTGTAGATTTCCTGATCTCGAAAAAAATCCTGAGTTGCATGCTGTATGGGTGGAGAACATGAATAAGGATGCAGTAGTAAAGTTTATTCCGACGAAAGGGAGTCGTCTTTGCTCGGAGCATTTCAGTGCGGACATGTTGCAACAGGTTGGACAAAGAATGATGCTGCTGCCAGATGATGTCCCTACTCTATTTCAGGGCTCTCAGGTTTGTACTTTGCACTACTTGTACTACTACCAAAGTAAGGGAATAAGGAAAACCTATATGAATGATACCAAATATCACGTAATACTGCAATTCCTTTTTGAAATTATTATCAGAGGCATGAATTATTGCCCTAGGTGTGAGCAGTGATATGTGAGCTATTGCTTTTATTCAATAAACTGTATAGAAAATGTCATAGCTAGCTGGAGTACAATAAAGTATTCTCATTTGCACTGTGCTCTAAGGATGGCAGTCAGCTCAACTGTAAATAATCTACTTTTGCTATATTTCACTTTATCCTGTTTTAAAAAAAATAATATCCAACACAATTGGGGTGTCATGATTCTTAAATAGGCAAAATATTTATCAGGATTAATCTATTTAATTAGGCCCTGGCTGATTGAGGTTGACTGTTTTATATTAAAATTATCTCAATCTTCCAGCATATGGATTTGGAATTTTCAAAACTTGAAACATTAGGTAATCTGGAAAGAGTTCATGTAACCATGCAAACAACTTTAAATTTCATTTGGTTTACAAAATGCTAGAGATTGAGTGCTCAATATACCATGTACAGTAGGTAGAGCAGATATACTTCTTAGATCATAATGATGCTAATCATATCAGCCCTACCTAATTTATTGACATTTTATACTGTCAGGTTATAGTGAATGAAGATCCTGTTGCAGTAGATGATCATTGCATTGGGAATGAGGTTATAGATGCAGGTTATGATGATAATGAGTCCATGGAAATAGACGTCATGGATGAAACAGTGAGTGATGTTGCTGATAAGGAAAGTATGCTCGAGATGATTGATGATGTATCTGAAGAGAACATGCTCAATATACAATCAGAGAGTATGGCTGACAATGTAAGTATGACTGAAAAAAAGAGAAAGCATTCTGATGTGTAAATTAGCATGAGTGAGGTAAGCAATTTGAATGAAACAGGTAAGAATGCTGTCAGTCATGATCACACATATTGTGTCAGTAAATCTCCCAGTAGTTTGAAACGACAAATGGATGATATGGTGGATGAAATGACAAACATGAAGAGAAGATTAACAACTTCCCAAAAGAAAGCCAGACGGCTAAAAAGAAAGGTTAGCACATTGACTGATGTGGTAAGTGAACTGAAAGAGAAAAATCTTATTAATAGTGATTGTGCTATTATATTAGAGAGTACCCTTTCCGGAGTTCCAAAGGAACTCATGAAAAGGATAACATCGCAAAAGAAAAATCCTGGCGCGTATCCGCCTGAGCTCAGGTCATTCGCACTGACCTTGAAATTTTATTCGACAAAGGCATATAATTATGTCAGGAAAAGCTTTAATCTAGGGTTGCCACACGTATCGGTGATTCGATCATGGTACACCTCGATGGACGGCGAACCTGGTTTCACGAAGGATGCGTTGACAGCTTTAAAAGCGAAAGTTTTAGCTGCAAAAAGAGATGGTGGCAAAGAAGTTGTTTGCGCTCTGAACTTGGACGAGATGTCCATACGTAAGCATGTCGAGTGGGATGGTAAGAGAATGCGTGGCTATGTCGACCTCGGAACGGGTATTGAAAATGACTCGCTGCCTGAAGCAACCGATGCGCTGGTGTACATGGCCGTTTGCGCAAATTCGAGATGGAAAATACCCTGTGGATATTTTCTGGTGAATGGACTGACTGGTGAACAGAAGGCAAACCTGACGAAAGAATGCATTGAGAAATTGTACGAGGTTGGAGTGAAGGTGATTTCATTCACATGCGATGGTCCTTCTACCCACCAGGCAATGTTGAAGGTGCTCGGAGCCAAGCTGTTAACTGATGACCTGCAAGTGTATTTCAAGCATCCGTGTGACCCCGAAGCCAAGATCTATGTGTTTTTAGATGCTTGTCACATGATAAAATTAGTACGGAACGTCATGTCGGACTGGAAAGTCCTGAAAGATGAAGATGACGACACCATTCAGTGGCAATTTATCGAGAAATTGCATCAGTTGCAGGAATCGGAAGGTTTACATCTAGCTAATAAGCTTCGAACAGCGCATATCAAGTGGAAGCCCCAGAAGATGAAGGTAAATCTTGTGGCGCAGGCGCTCAGTTCGAGTGTTGCTGATGCGTTAGAATACTGTGAAGGTAAGCTGAAATTACCACAATTTCAGGGATGTGGTCCAACAGTGAAGTTTATTCGTATTTTTGATCGCCTGTTTGATGTTCTGAATTCTAGAAACCGGCTGGCGAAGAATTACAAATTGCCAATCAAGAGATCGAATTACCAGTACACGAAGAAGTTTCTGGACCAGGTGAGCGAGTACATTCGAAATCTGAAGGATCCAGAAGGCGTATCAGTTTTCAAGACAAGAAGGAAAACAGGATTTCTTGGTTTCCTTATTTGCATCAAATCAGTTTTGGGATTGACTGACGATCTGGTTATGAGTGAGAAACCAGTCCTGGATTATCTCTTGATGTACAAGATGAGTCAAGATCACTTGGAGTTGTTCTTCGGTGCTGTGCGAGCATGCGGAGGGTGGAATAACAATCCAACCACACGCCAGTTTGTAGCCGCGTACAAACAACTGCTGATGAGACACAATATTGAAGGAGGACGTGGAAACTGCATCGACTAGATACGACTTAGAGGTGAGAGAGCCAGCAGCCGTCGATCATGATTATTGTGACGTGTCGAATGTCATAGAACTGTCGGAATACAAAGAGGCTGCAATATCATACATTGCTGGGTATGTGGTGAAGATGGTAATGAAAAAGATCAAATGTACGAAATGTACAACGGTTTTGACGACAACCGAAGAGGAGATTCCAGATTTGTTCGTAACGTGGAAGTCGAATGGTGGTCTGATATTGCCATCACATGGTGTTATCAAGATCTGTGAAGAAACGGAGAAGTGCATCGTAAGAATGCTGAACTCAAATCAAGGTGGTTTACCGCAAAGCGCCAGGATTTCGAATGCGATTCCCAAGACTGTGTTAGAAATCTGTGTTAGAGGTGGGGTCTTCAGCACCTTAGATGAACACATGTTTGATTCGAGTGCAGTCGATAACCACGTTCTTGCTTTGATCAAATGCTGCTGTCAGAGTTACGTGACGATCCGTATGCATCATTTATGCAAGTTGAGGAATGCAAGAATGCACGAGAAGGTAGTACGTAAACAGTTCTCAAAGCTTGTGCTGTTCAAACACCAGTAGAGTTCACTGGACCTGGGCACTCTTGTGATGCTTCCGAGGTGATTGCCTGAAGTGTGCATTGCTGATAATGCAAATTGTCAAGGATACCTGCACATTGTTGATGTGTTCGAGGTTTGACAAAAAGTTTGTGAATCTACTATATATGGTGTTTGATAAGTGTAATGTGTATACACGTACACAGGTGTATGGAAGATTAACACATCGTAATCATAATTAAGGACTGAAAAATTACTACAGAGGCAAGTATATACATATTGTTTTTTCTATATTTCTGATACTTGCCTGCATAAACTTTACACGAGTTTACTACAATTATATTTTCGGTTTTTTAGATGAAGATTAGAAACGGAGATGCCATTTGATGTACCCGAAAAAATAGTTTAACCAATTTGTAATTTAGAATGTAAAATTAAATAATGTAATTAATAATTAACATTAACAGTAGATGTTGAATTTTAACAATATGCAAGTAGTAATATTTCGTATACAAGATCTGCATGCAATAATAGTAGCTACAACAATTTTCATAAGCCTTTATGAGCTGTCCTCTCCATCATAAACTAGCCATGCATAATGTGTTTCGTGTCCCATTTTTGAATTGACAACTGTGAAAGATGCTCAAGATTCTATTGGAGATCAAGAAGTACCAGTTATACATTTAGATGTTGACTATGCAATATACTATGGTAAATTCCCAACGAAAAAACATGATGATGAAAGGAGATTTAAATACTGAGGGAAATTAAAAAGTTGATAAAAATATTCAGGATTAAAAAAAGTTAATAAAAATATTATCATCATCATCCTGGCTGAACAATAGAAACTTAGACATCAAACTTATGCTATCATGTGAACTAAAAGATGCAACACATGTACTCAACACCATTCCTGTCAAGTACATGCAATGGTCAATGAATGCAACACAGAGGAAAAAGGATGCAATCAGGAGGTTAAAAAGGATTGTTAAGAAAGAATAGACCATGAGGATTTATTAATATATTCTCAATATTGGGGGTCAAGCAGTTAGAAATTCATCAAACTTATGCTATCATGTCAACTAAAAGATGCAACACATGTCCTCAACACCATTCCGGTCAAGTACATGCAATGGTCAATGAATGCAACACAGAGGAAAAAAGAAGCAATCAGGAAGTTAGAAAGGATTGTTAAGAAAGAATAGACTATGAGGATTTATTAATATATTCTCAATATTGGGGGTCAAGCAGTTAGAAATTCATCAAAGGTGCCAGTGAAATAACATATGTTTTGGTATAGTTATGAGGAAAAATAATTATTAGGTTAATTTATAGTCTTATAGATGTCAAACTTTAGTATATTAAGTATATATCATGTTTGCCATTGTGATACAAGAATGGCTTTATTCAAAAACATCAGGCTGACAATTATTAAAGAGAGTCCTTATTTTAAAAATAATTTCACAGGGATTGAAGCGTGCAGCATTATCTAGCTTTCATTGTACAACATGTCCGTGAAGTCAAGAACAATGTAAACAAAAAGAAAGTTGTTTACAGTGTTTACAAAGCACTGTCTAACAGTGACGGCGAATATTCAGCGGTCATAATACATATAGCAAATTGTGTAAATGTAAGATAACTAATAGCATTTAGCTAAACTAATTTAAATGACTGTGAATTATTTATATTAGTTTTAAATAATTTTATGTACTATTAAACTGTAAGTCTATAATATATTACCTTTTATTACTTTGAACTTTTTAAAGTTGTTTTTCAGAGATTTGCCTCACATTCAAAACAAAAAGATCGAAAAGGACCTTTCATGTATGTATGAACAGTTGAGAAATACTACGCACCTAAGGGAGTATCCAAGTTGTCTGCAAATTACATGATGTATTGTTAATTACATTTTGTTAGTTACACGCCCACTAAATTCCGCAATCACACCCACAAATTTTGCGAGGTTGCAAATATTGATGATTCTAATGATACACAAACAATTCTAATCGCGCAGCAAAATGCGATTACCTATCAAACCAGATTACCTCAGAAACCAGATTGGCTAAAATGTTCAAATTAGAATTTAAATCCTTTGAAGTGCTGAATACTTCATGTTGTATCCATATTGCGCCCATTCTCTCCACCAATCAAATATCAAATTTATTTCGCGCGCTTTTTGATTTACATATCTTTTATAGCTTTCATATATCTGAAAAGCACGATTATAAAGCAGAAAAAAAACTAAAAGGTTTTTAGAAAGGCATTATTTTAATGATTTTCGCCAATTACTGCTAAATTACAATATAAATACTCTATGTTTTCCGACAGAAAGCGGGATGGCTACCGACAGCGAGAAGCTGCAAGGAAGTGGTCGTGATACTGGTGCATGAATGATAGTTGTATTATTTTGAATTTAGTACAAAATATTTTCACCGAATTCTAGCAAAATTTGCTTAATGTTAATTTTTTTCAATTTAATTTTATTTTGCGTTTTCGCTGCAGCAGAAGAGAATGAAGCTACGATATCGGAAGGTGGGTTTCCTTGACAATTTTAATATAGGAATATATAAACGGTCCGGTGAGCATCAATCATACAGCAAAAATTTATACAGGCATTTTTTTAAATATAGGAGGAATGGATCTGGAGACAGATGACATGGATAAGAAAAATGGTACAACAGAAAAAATTATAATGCACAGCTAAACAATTGTCTTGATAAGAATTTAAATAAATCTTTCTATTTTAATTGTGTGATAAGAATTTAAATAAATCTTTCTATTCTCTAGACAAGAATGTGCCATTGTTTGAAGGTACTTAATTTTTTTTTATTTTAACATAGTCATTGCTTTTTATATACTATACTGAAGATGACTTGATTAAACTGGCAAACATGGCCAGCTATACATATACCAACTAAATGTTTTAAACAACTTTTATTCATTTAGGGAAATGTCATCATTGCAGCCTAAAAGGTCACAAAGCATTTCAATGCACTGAAGGTATGCCTTTTCTTTTCGTTTAATACATTGCTATAAAAAATGACTTGACATATAGAACAGCTATCTTTTCTCCTTTATATAAGACAAGAAGATAAGAAATGATTTTAAAGGTATTAACATTTTGCTATATGATCAGGTTGTTTTCATTTGTGGATTCCTAAAGCACCAAACATAACTTTAATATTTCATAATATTAATACCGTTCTCGTTTAGGAAGTTGTTATAATTGTGGCCTTAAAGGCCACAAAGCGAGAGAGTGTCGCAAATGTATGTTCTTCTTTCCAGTTTATTTATCTTCATTCACCTAAATTTAAAATAACACAGTTATAATTTAGTAACTATATAGTTCTGCTTTGTTTATTTGTTGCAGCTTATAATCGAGATGGAAACAGTAAGTCATGAACATTCCAATGAAGATCTTCACAGATAGCATCCATTTACTCTATGTTGTCCTGTTATTTAATTAATTTACCAATACTTAATTTGTTAAGGAAAATATTTACCATTATCCACTATATTTGATGTCACTAAATCTCCTTGTTTTGTAGAAAGAAAGTGTTTCAAATGTGGAAAGGTGGGGCATTTGGCCAAAGCCTGTAGATCCAAGTCATCCAACATCAAGCCCACACTAAAACATATACTACAGAACTGTACAAGCTGCACTATGAACTTCAGTGCATCCACTCTACCCAACAAAGATTAAGATTAAGGGTATATTCTAATGATTCCAGGATCATTATGTATTGTAATATTCGACATTCTTGGTTTCCTGAAGTATGCAAAATCTTTGGTTAATTCTATTTATGTATTATATTTTACATGATCAGGTTAATCTTTGTTGGGTAAAGTGGCATTCAATTAATTTGTTAATTTTGCACAATGCAATGGAATATCAATAACAACAATAAGCATTTGAAATTGAATCCTTTCATACCTATAACATGTTTTGTTTGCATTGCCCATTCTTCAAAAAGAGCTTTTTGTGTAAAAATTTAATGCATTTGATTAAAATATATGCATTAATTCTTGTTACAAATGTCAGCATTATTTATAATAAGGAGGCCAGAATACCATAGTGTATAATTTCTTTGAGCATTTCAATTTTCATTTACTGTTTAAAAGAATCAATGAGTTGAAAATAATTCATGTCCCCAAACTATGCATTAAGCTTTTCTGATGTTAATTGTGCAATATTAGTTGATTAATTAAATAACATGAATTCAAAAATTATTTATACAAAATTGTTTATAAAATGTTAATAAATTATTAATAATGCCAATATATATTGCTATATGCTCATGTTTTAATTTACATATTGCTGAAATAAATATTGAAATAACTCTTTTGCATATAAGTATTTTGTAATTCCTCACCTTTAAAAACATGAAAATGCACCGAGTAATTGAAGCATTATTAAAATTGTAGTCATCAGAGATTGGATCTAAAAAAAAGTATTAAAATTACTTTCCATATACAATTTTAAATTCGTTTTTACAAAATGTCGATTCTTGTAAACATTTTGCCTGCCAACTGCTTTATACAGTATCCTGTTAGTACCGTTACAGATATATGGTTCTCTATTAATTTACATCTGTATATAAATGCAAAAACTACAACTCTATCGCTGAAACAAAGCCCATATTATTAAGCCAAAATAATTTAGTAGCTCGTATTTTTGACTTGGATAGCTTATTGACAGGAAAGGTAGAGTTAATTCTGAGGCATCAGGGATGCAATTCAAATTCCAAGAGACGATATTTTGAAAAAAAAATTAATACCTGAGCTTGAGTCAGTTCATCTGCAATCGGAATGAAAAAAATATACCGCTTTTTGTCACTTTTCTCACGCCTTTCTTTCGCTTTCGTTATTGACATTCAACAGCAGACAAATAACGTGTTAAAGCTCATAGTAGATAACATATTTCTCAAATATTGACGAGATGTGTGGTGTGCAAATGTGCAAGAGACAAAAGATCGTTTTCCGTTTTCGATATATCGATTAATTATTATAAAATTTCAAATTTCAAAATCCAGAGGGGAGAATACTGCTGTAGCAGGCTCAGAATTGAGCCTGGTCAGTGGTAAATACCATGGCCAAAAGGAGCCATGTGGCGTCAGCAGAGCTTCTGCGGTTGCGCAGAAGGGCGAAGTCCGCCATGTTTTTGCGGACAAAAAGATGGCGGCGAAGTTACCGAAAAATGACGAGCCGGTCCTCCAGGAATTATTATATAGCTCAGTGATCAGGGGCCGGTTGTTCAAAAGCAGGTTAAATTTAACCCTGTGTTAGTGCTAAACCTAGGTTAAAATCCTTAACCCTAGGTTAGCTAAACCTGGGTTAAAACTGTGTTGTTCAAAGCAGGGTTAGCGGTAGGGTTAGTTAACCCAGGTTTAAAATATTTAACCTAAGATTAAATGTATTTTAAGGACTAAATTGGATATAAGAACGTTTTCGATTGGTCAATAAACGAGCGTCAAAACTTTACCCGACGAGGATATATTGTTAGTAGAAAGATTATATGCCGTGAGGGCAGGGTCGAAGGGACGTTGTTTTGAACAGTAATTTCCGTGCATGGAATTTTGGAAAGATTCGAAATGAAAGGCCATTTTCTATGATAAACAATGTCGATGTGAAACAAAATTAAGCAAATTATAAACAATCTATTTTAAAATTTCAGGCATTCTTTTATTATTCAAAATTCAGGAACAAACATAGCCTTACCACTTGCTGCCAATCAAAAACATCGAATTTAAGCATCCGAAACAAATATTTCGATTACAATGTTTCAATTTGTACGGTTGTATTCATTTATTGTGTATTGCATTGAATTGAAGATAAATAAATCAATACATCAGCTGAAACCGAACGAAGTCAAACTTAAACAATTATTTGCTGTCGAAATTATTCGTAAAACCTTTCAAAAGTGTTTAATTCATGACGAATTATACGTGTTTACGTGTTTCAGCTCCCTATTCATCCATTTTGAATCGAAGTTAACCCAGGATTAAAAAGTTAACCCATCTAGCTAGCAGGGTTAATTTTTTTATCAATTTTAACCCAGGGTTAACGCTAACCGAGCTTTGTGCAACGCAAATCAACCAAGGTTGAAAATTTAACCCTGGGTTAGGCATTTTTAACCCTGGGTTAGCGTTAACCGGCTTTTGAACAACCGGCCCCGTGGGTGTAAATATCCGAGCGGAATTAGTACCCTCGCACGGTGCTCCGCACCGGCTCGGGGATAATTCTCGACCATATATAAGAAATTCGATCATGGTATGAATTATGAAATATTCTCGAGCACAGTGTGAAATTCTCTAACTGTATATATAGTTAATTTATCTCGAATATCGGTTGATATTCTCATACGTAGATTAATATTATATTCTCGACTACCGCTTTGTGTTCTCGATACAATTTTGTCACGTTTGGCTTGCCATAACTTGCTCGCAGTGGCGGCTCGCAGTTGATTTCACTGCTTGCTCGTCATTTTTCGGTAACTTCGCCGCCTTTTTTTTTAAGCCACAAATATGGCGGATTTCGCCGACATCACATGGTAACTTTTGCCCATGGTATCTACCACTCAATTCTGAACCCGCTACAGCAGCATTCTCCACCCTGGCTGTGCTCCGGGATTTTGTAAACATCAGGTTTTTCCCAATAGTTTTCTATATTTTTTGCCTGAAATCTTGTTGTTCTGTTTTTTTGGTTATATTTTTTGGTCTGACCTTCAATAAAGTGTTTTTTTAAGATGAACACAAATCGTAGACGCTGATTTTGACAATGCGAGAACAAATATATATTAAAACGTTAAAAAATGTTGACAAATCTAGATTTATTTTTCATTTTACGAAATTCAACAAATACTTGAACTTTTTTGGCACTACTGTCGGATATTTCGAGTACAACTGGATATTAATGGACATCAATTAGACTTTCCTGAATCCTGAACTGAAGAATTACCGAAAGTATGCAATTAATGATGTTGTCTTGAATGTCTTCAGGACTGTATATCTATATATGCATAATACAAACAATCAAAGGCCAAGCTCAGGCAAGATGCTGGGCAGCTGACTAATACTAAGTGCAGGAATATAGTTTCCACCAAGAGTCATATTTGCATAATATACTTTTCATTTAGTCGTCAGTTTGCAAGTACCTCAATGGGCTATAAAAGTTTTCAGCATTGTCTAATTGCATTCCTGGACACCTGGTTATAGTAATGAATAATATTAATTTCGAAGGTCCACAAAACATATGTTTTCTGAGGTCGCAGTAAATAGGTTTTTTATTATATACCACTTGTCAAAGAAAAACAAAACAACTAGGTAAACAACGAAATATCTATTCATAAAAGAATACAAAAAGTTCAAACGCCGGCCCTATAGTTGCTGATGAAATTGAAGGTAACATTGCATGCAATTACAAGCAATCAAGCTTGATTTATTTCATCTTCATCCTGAAAAATAAAAATGGAAATTTGATCAAGATTTATTCACAAGGTGCAAGAAGCTAAAAAATCAATTAAAAGTCATGGTAATTGATAAATTGACTTTGGATTTGTCAAGGCAAACAAGATAATATATTAACTAGGCTTTAACAGCCATTATCACAGGTTGAAAGTTTAAACTGTTTGCAGCAAAAATCTTATTACTTTGTATCAACACCCATGCAATCTACACTTCTCAGACTGCAGAGTTGGGCACTTTTCAACGAGAGCTCGGGTGCACAATAATGACAAGCCCAAGAGCGGGTGCGCGAAATAGCCTGTGGTGCGCACCCAAGTGCGGCCCAAGTGCGCTGTAGCTAAGAATATTGACGATTTATTTGGATTCCGTTTCACCTGTGGCGTGCGAAATGGATGGGCTTTGAATGGACGACTTGCGCTTTAGACTAATTTTTGATCAAAGTAACTAGAGGAAAATAAATCACCCTAGCTAGAAAGATCTTACTTAAATTAGTAAAACTGCCAAGTTTGGCTGCGAAATTTTGTAAAATATGGAAAATATAGCCATGCGAAGTTGGCAAATTTTGTATACTTTTGTATTATGTGCGAAATGTGTAACTAATTTAGTTACAAACTTTCGGTCGTAATACAAAAGTATACAAAAATCGACAACTTCGCATGGATATATTTTCCGTATTTTACAACAATTCGCAGTCAAACTTGGCAGTTTTAATTATTTTAGTAAGCTTTTTGAGAAAATGTCCTTTTTATCACCGAGGTAAGAAATTAGTCTAAAGCGCAAGTCGACCATTAACTCATTGAATAACCCTTACATCAACCCTAAATAGCCCTACTTACAACGTTGGAATTACAACTCAAGCAAAGTTGGAATTTAATCAACCACCTGATCGGTAAAAATATCAAATCAAACACTATATCCCAACTTAAAATAGACAATTCTGTCATTTCAGACGACAAATTGAAATCTGAGGCGTTTAATGATTTTTTTGTCAATATCGGGGTAAAACGTGCAGATAAATCCCAAGACAATTCCCCAAACACAAATTCTCACGGTCGTGAAGACCCTAGGCCTAACCCTACTTTTGACTCTCATCTTCCTTTCAATTTTTCTGAAATTAATGAGGAGGAAGTAATACATCAATTGCGAAGTCTCAAAATCTCAAAATCCACAGGATTAGACAATATCCCTGCCAAAGCTTTAAAAATTTCTGCGGATATTGTTGGCCCGTCATTAACCAGGATATTTAATCTTTCTATTGAAAAAGGTCAATATGTTGATGAGTGGAAAAAAGCCTGGGTTACTCCTTATTTACAAATCTGAT